TTCTATCCAAAGTAAACACGTAGTTTTCTATCCAAAGTAAACACGTAGTCTTCTATCTAAAGTAAACACGTAGTCTTCTATCTAAAGTAAACACGTAGTCATTTTATCTAAAGTAAACACGTAGTTTTCTATCTAAAGTAAACACGTAGTATTCTATCTAAAGTAAACACGTAGTTTTCTATCCAAAGTAAACACGTAGTTTTCTATCCAAAGTAAACACGTAGTCTTCTATCTAAAGTAAACACGTAGTCTTCTATCCAAAGTAAACACGAAGTATTCTATCCAAAGTAAACACGTAGTTTACTATCCAAAGTAAACACGTAGTTTTCTATCCAAAGTAAACACGTAGTCTTCTATCTAAAGTAAACACGTAGTTTTCTATCCAAAGTAAACACGTAGTCTTCTATCTAAAGTAAACACGTAGTTTTCTAACCAAAGTAAACACGTAGTTTCTAACATACACGTAGATTTGTATGTTAGAGCACAAATTATCTTAATTCTACATGAAACATTGGAAGTAATAATAAAATAGATGAAATTTCCGTCAACCAATGAACACTAGAATATTAATCACGTGACTCATGATAGTAACGATATATATATATTTCTCGATAATAATCTTATTTCTATTTCCCACTAAATCTTTAAAGCGATCTCTAAAGACGTTAAGTCAAAAATTTGAAGAAACAGACATTTTGTTCTCGAAGCTGTAACTCTGAATGAACGCTCACTTGATTTATGTTTATAATATTTAGGAAAATGTTCGCAGTGTCATCGCTAGCTTTAGAATTTTAAATATTATCCAAGCAATGTACGTACAGGTAATATTAATGTAATATTGATAGCAAGTTATTCAAACGTTTACTAAAACTCTCTGTCAACATAACAAGAACGATGCTCTGTTTAAACTATTTACACTTGTTATTGGCTTTGTTATGAATTTCGCGCAAAGCTACACGAGGGCTACCTGTCCCGAATTTAGCAGTGTAATACTAGAGGGAAGGCAGCTAGTCAACAACACCCACCGCCAACTCTTGGGCTACTCTTTTACCAACGAATAATGGAATTGACCATCACATTATAACGGCACTGCAGCTGAAAGGGCGAGCATGTTTGGTGTGACGGGGATTCGAACCCGCGACCCGCAAATTGCGAATCGACCGCCCTAACCACCTGGCCATGCCGGGCCCTTTTATTTGTAAGCAGAATTCTTTACAATAAAACAGTATCTGCTTACAGAAAATTTTCAAGTTTTAATGGGAAAATACACTGTATAGTAATATGCTCTCAGGTAGTAAGGCTTTATTTTAGAAACACCATATATATATATTACTTCAGGCGCGTAAGCAGAATGTTTCTATGGGGGTCCTAATTCGTGAGATCCCCCCCCCCCCCCCGTAGCATTAGCGTGTAGCATGCTGATTGTGCTATGCACACTATGTGTTGGATTTTGTGTGTGATAGTCATGTATAACGTATTATACGTGATGTGTGTGATAGTCATGTATAACGTATTGTACAAGATATGTGTGATGGTCATGTATAACGTATTATACAAGATATGTGTGATAGTCATGTATAACGTATTATACAAGATATGTGTGATAGTCATGTATAACGTATAGTCTGATGAAGCATTATCATTGTTTGGCTCGAAATAGTCGCACGTCCCCAGAGCAGTGGCTATTATATACAGAACAGGTGGAAGTCTAGGTATTCTGTTAATGGTGCAGTGGATATTATATACAGAACAGGTGGAAGTTTAGGTATTCTGTTAATGGTGCGGTGGCTATTATATACAGAACAGGTGGAAGTCTAGGTATTCTGTTAATGGTGCAGTGGATATTATATACAGAACAGGTGGAAGTTTAGGTATTCTGTTAATGGTGCAGTGGATATTATATACAGAACAGGTGGAAGTCTAGGTATTCTGTTAATGGTGCAGTGGATATTAGATACAGAACAGGTGGAAGTCTAGGTATTCTTACTCAGATCCTCCAAATGGACCTACCTGACGGCTGCAACTTACCCAGATCCTCCAAACGGACCTACCTGACTGCTGCGACTTACCCAGATCCTCCAAACGGACCTACCTGACTGCTGCTACTTACCCAGATCCTCCAAACGGACCTACCTGACTGCTGCAACTTACCCAGATCCTCCAAACGGACCTACCTGACTGCTGCAACTTACCCAGATCCTTCAAAGCGACATGCTCCCATAGCTTTTGACATAGGAGAAATTAATGGTGAAGTTGGTGCCGTGCCCTCTCTATCATCATCATCTTCATCATCTTCAGATATGGACGGTAGTGTAAGAGAGAGTATCCCGGTGTTTTCTTCTTGCTGTTTGAATGAGTAATAACTATATAACAGATATTAACTGACTATACAAGATATGTGTGATAGTCGTGTATAACATCTTATACGTGATGTGTGTGATAGTCATGTATAACGTATTATACAAGATATGTGTAATAGTCATGTATAACGTATTATACGTGATGTGTGTGATAGTCATGTATAACGTATTATACAAGATATGTGTGATAGTCATGTATAACGTATTGTACAAGATATGTGTGATAGTCATGTATAACGTATTATACAAGATATGTGTGATAGTCATGTATAACGTATTATACGTGATAGGTATTCTGTTAATGGTTTCGTGCACCAACGGAGAAGAATCAAGAGCCCTGGGATTCACTACCCTGGCACATAAGTCATTACACCACACCTGGTCTAGCAAACATATAATTTAGAGAAAAGTTTGAACAAGTGTTAAGGTCTTACTATCACTAGGATGACTGTTGAGGTCTTACTAAAAATTAGAAAGAATGTTGAGGTTTATTAAGATTAGGATGCGTGATGAGGTATTACCAAGATTAGGATGACTGATGAGGTCTTACCATGGTTGGGATGAGTGGTGAAGTCTTACCAAGGTTTGGATGAGTGGTGAAGTCTTACCATGGTGGTGATGAGTGGTGAAGTCTTACCCAGATTGGGATGAGTGGTCTTACCAAGATTAGGATGACTGATGAGGTCTTACCATGGTTGGGATGAGTGTTGAGGTCTTACCATGGTGGTGATGAGTGGTGAAGTCTTACCAAGGTTTGAATGAGTGGTCTTACCAAGATTAGGATGACTGATGAGGTCTTACCATGGTTGGGATGAGTGGTGAAGTCTTACCCAGATTGGGATGAGTGGTCTTACCAAGATTAGGATGACTGATGAGGTCTTACCATGGTTGGGATGAGTGATGAGGTCTTACCATGGTGGTGAAGTCTTACCAAGGTTTGGATAAGTGGCCTTACCAAGATGAGGATGACTGATGAGGTCTTATCAAGGCTGGGAGGAGTGTTGAGGTCTTACTAAGATTAACGTAAATGATGAAGGCTGGGATGAATGGTCTTACCAAGATTAGGATGATTGATGAGGTCTTATCAAGGCTGGGAGGAGTGTTGAGGTCTTACTAAGATTAACACAAATGATTAAGGCTAGGATGAATGGTCTTACCAAGATTAAGATGAGTGGTCTTACCAAGATTAGGATGAATGGTCTTACCAAGATTAGGATGAGTGGCCCCAGAAGATAACTTCTCATTTCGATACAGTGGTCGCGATGGAACTGGTCGGCGAACGTCAGAAGTTGAAGTTTCGCAGTTTTTAATTTTTATTTCGGAATTATTTTCTCTGTAATTAAAGACGCTGTATGTTAGATTTAGTTTAGTGATGTGAGCATCGTTTTCATTACTTGATATTAAAGAAAATATACATTCTACTACACAGACAACAGTTGTAAGACAAGGTAATTTTGTTAACATTAGATATTATATACACAATTGGTATAAGTCTTAAAGTAGAGGTCAAATAATATGATGTAATCAGTGAAGAGGTAGCCCGAGAATTGGCAGTGGGTGCTGTTGACTTTCCTCTAGCCTACCAGCTCTAAATTAAGGACTGTTATATTGCATAGTTAGTCCTTGTGTAGCCTAGCGTGAAAAATTCTAATAAACAAACATATGCCTTTTGTTAAATTTCTGTTTTATACATATTAAATTTAAAAACGTCCTTTAAAATGTTGCGAGTGAAATAATTAGCTATCATTATTATATAATTATAATAATATAATTATATTATATTATTATATTCCTTATAATAATTGGATGCGAAGTTAAAAGTTAAATACTGTATTTGTCGTTTTTGTAAATATTTATATGCCTCCCTAGGTCCACCGTTAGAGTTGAGTGAACTGAGAGATGAAGTGGAGATCATAAGAAACGGTGTCCAACGACTGGACATGCAAATGTCAGAGCTGGCACGCGATGTTGGAACTCTGAGTCAGGAAGTAAGAACTATCCTCACGCACCTGTGTTCTGTGGGTGGGATAACGCTTTTACTCGATCAATCTAGTGATATTCAGCAAAATGGATACACCAGCGCCACTCCGGTTCGAAGTTTTAGCCAGCCAATAGGGTTGTCTTCAGTTTACTCTCCGCACCCACAGACAAATGTGATTAACAACAATAGTTGTGGAACTCAAACGGATATGTATCTCTTGGACAGCCTTACGGAGAAAATTGACGGACAAAATTCTCCGCCCGCCAATTTCGAATATTCTTCTTATACCATTGAAAAGACAACAACAGTAAATGGACAAAACAAATAATGAAAGTGGTAATTTCTTGAATAACTCGTTCATGGTGGGAAGCACCGTTTCTCCTCAACACTCGAGCTCTCCTTACCTAACATTACGTCATCATGAAACACGCTGGAGAGCGAAACGCTCGATTCCTTGCATCATTCCAAGTCACTCATGCTTTCAGTGATCGATAACTGTCCAAAGTAAGATCACGAGAGATGTAAATATATCTAGTCGAGACAGTTTCGTGACTGTCCAAAGTAAGATCACGAGAGATGTAAATATATCTAGTCGAGACAGTTTCGTGACTGTCCAAAGTAAGATCACGAGAGATATCTAGTCGAGACAGTTTCGTGACTGTCCAAAGTAAGATCACGAGAGATGTAAATATATCTAGTCGAGACAGT